TGTGAACGGCTAAAATTGGAGGGTCCAGGGGGTGTGCGTTTGGACGCAGCGGAGTGGGAGTGCGTGTCAGTGCATGTCCAAGACCCATTAAGCAGATCGCGTGCAAACCCTGCAAGAGTGATACCTCAACGCCATCTGCTTTTACCCTAGAATGGTCTTTGAAGGCTAGGGTGTAATGTATGTAGGCATATTTATTCCAGCCCCATGGAGTGTCTGGGTCAGGTTTCTGTAGGGATGTCCAATCAGCCATAGATGTTTGGTCGGACCAAATATCCTATAATAGCTCACTCCTACCTTGATTCCTAGGAATCCACATCGAAACCTTCGAATATAGTTTGTCCGATCGGTGGGGATGCCACCTATTTTCCTCACAACAAGAAACAGCCAGGAGTCACGTTCGACAGGGTTGTGTTTAGTCCCAAAAAAGGCGCTGTGGATGTTCTGAGCACCCCGTCTTGTGACTGCTGGAGCTTGCTTTTCGTGGTTACATCGGACCGTGGGTGGTGTCATCCAGCTTTGATCCCCACTCTCCGAAGGACAGGGACTCGGGGGTTGGCTGAGAAGTGTGCGACCGCAGGGTCCATACCGAACCTGAGGAGGGTACGAAGGAAGGAGCTCTGGGCTCTACCTTCTTACAAGGTGGGACTGGGGAGGGTGCCAGCAAATTCCAGTCCCTGGGCTCCAGTCGTACCTCCTCAAGTTCGGTATGACTGGATCCTCCTGGCACCCACCCCAGTCCCATCCCACCTTCGAAACGGTTCGGTAGGAGCCCTAGGGAGTGACCGAACCTGAGGAGATATATACCTAAGGCTATCTTGGATGGAGATATATACCTAGCACCTGATGGTCTATATACCTGATATATACCTGTGATACTTGGAGCCCCTACACCTTCGCACATCTTCACCCTCCATCTCCGCACCGGGCGCCGCGCCCATCAGGTCGCCATGTGTCGCGCGCGGCAAAGCATCGGCTCTTCATCGGTGGGGTTTTTGGTTTCGCCCTTGTTGGGGGTATATTTGGATGGATGGATTTCGTGGTTTGAACCACGGCGCGGTCGACCTTTTTCAGGTTTCTGGTCGGTCTCGGTGCGGCTTCATGTTTCAGAGAGAATATGAGCAAAAAGTGGTTTTGGGCAGTTGTTAGCACCCAAACAAAGAGGAGGATCGAAAAGGTCGGCTGGGACTTGGTGAGGAAAAGAGTAGAGAGTTGCTTGGAGTTATTCGTTGCAGTAACTTAAGTATGTAGAATGATTGATCAGCAAAAGTGGTTTGAATTGGGATGTCCATGCTGTATTTCTTCTCCAGGTTGTCGAAAGGTAAAAACATGTTGAAAAGGCAACCTACCCATCTTCCCGGCACTTGATCTATGTGATCAATGCTACAAAGGCAACACATCATGTTACACATCAAAACGACCCATCGCCTTCAAGCTCCACGGGACACCATGTTCTAACTGGTGGTATACCGGTGGATCCCGTGTGTCGATTCTCTCAGCTTTCCAAACCGCATGGACCGTCTCCCAGCTTTCTCCTGGAGCCAAAATGCAACGGAATCGTCCTCTGAAATGTGTGCATACCCAAAGTCTGATTGGATTGGATTGGATCGGATTGAATCGGTGATGCGACGCCAAAAGCTGTTATAAGGCTTTGATAGGTTGCAGCGGGTCACCATTTGATGGGAAAGATGTCTGTTTTCTTCACGTCAGGTAATGGTACGTCAGGCGTCAGGTAATTAACTTTTACATCGGATAAGCATGCATACTTGACGAAAAGGTAATCAAAGGTGTATACAGACCTAGTGCTTCGAAAGTACCACGAACAAAAGGAACAAGTGGAAAAACAGGTTGTTCTACTGTGCTTCTTTTTTGGGTGCAGGTTATTTTTTCGGACATTGGAATGTTTGGGGTGGTTGTCCATACTTTCGAAGCACATCATGTCATATAGCCGCTTGGGGCTCATAAGCGGCTTGGAAGCGTGTGTGCTGGGATCCCAGGTGCCACCTCCCCTGTGCATGCAAGCAGGGGAGTATTTGACACTCTGTTTGCTGTACCTGATCTTAGTTATCTTCTTGGATTGGGCGATTGTCGAAGCATATCGACCGATCAAATTTCTGCGTGTGGCATGGCGTCTTTTTTGGATTCCTGCTCCGCTGCATCAAAGCAAGTGATTGAGGTTGAAATACAAGAGTGCATGTTCTACTTGAGGCGTAGCAAGCTCATTGAATTGCCTCAAACATTTAAGGCTTTGATCCCAGCTTCGGAGTTTGAGCTTAATTGCTTCATCCGGACACAATAAGTGTGGAATTGCAACTTTGAGGTAGCGGACATTCGCCGAATTCTGCCGGAAATTCGAGAAATTTCATACCACTCCACATGTCCATGATCTCTGTTGCATGGGCTCTTTCGCGAGTCTTACCCCCATGAACTTGGCAACATCTTTCAAGAGTAGTTCTGAGACACTGGCCTATGGTTTGGATCTAACGGAAGTCCCTGTCAATGAGTTGGTTGCCCGCTCAATGCCTGACGACCCAGAAGAACAGCAGTTACTGCTTGGTTTTTTCTTTGTTCATCTGCATTGTCAAGTTTTGACAGGCCTTGGAAAGTAATTTTCACTTGGAGGACTTGGATGGACAAATTCTTGCCCGAGAAACCACATCTTGTTCAGCTTACTCATCAGAGTTTAACATCATGATTTGGGATCCATGCGCACAAAGACCCCTCCAGCGCTATGGTTTGGGTTTCAAAGCTCGACTCAACAGAGTCAAGAAACATCTGCAAAAGAAAGTCTGATGTGGAAAAAATGGCAGTGATTGACTTCAACATGCCTTTCCCGGTCCTCCAGTTTTCGCTATGACTGCTTTGTTCTATTGTATTTAGGATATGTTATTTGTTTGCTTATTTGTTATGTTTGTTCATCAACAAACAATTGTTCCCTTTTTTGCGACACGGGGGTTCTAGGGATGTGCCATATTTTGTCATGGTCCTACCCCTGCACCCACGGACCTTTTGCTAGCATGAACTTGGGCAACTTGCTTTCATCATTCGCATTCCAATCCCAAAGCCGATCCGAAGTTCCGACCCTCCGCACGCTCATCCGTTTCTCCGCATGTTTTCGATGTTGGACCACCCCAGAAGCGTTCGCAGACTCCGGGCACTTTAAAAGCGCAGGAAGCTGCGAGCGACGTTCGGGAAAAAAGGGAGCGGAAAAGACCTCGGGTGTGGCCGCGATGATCGTTGTGTCGCATGCGGGCCGCGACGATCGTCTTTTGATGGTGAGATTGAGACAGCAGGTCCCCGCAGCTATCCAGTTCAGCTTGTTCAAAAGCAGGGTCCAGGATCAAAGAACATTATAGTAATCGATATTTTCTCTATATTGTTACTGGGGTTAATAAATGTTAATAACCCAAGACAAAGAACATGCAATTTTGGAAAGACGAAACAAAGCAACTGCATTGAGGCTTGCATGCATTGCTGAAACTAGGGTCAGCTCTCTTGCTTGGTAAAGGGAGAACATATCAACAAAGATCAACAAAGTGTAAAGGCATAATTATCAAAAGGTCAAGCATACTATGAAACAACCGTCCAAATCAATCGAATTGTCTGAGACAACAAGCTGCTCAGTGTCATGTCTGCACATTCCAAACACCTTCACCCTCAGTGAAGTTAAAAACTGGTTGCTTGAGATCGGAAAAAAACAAACAAACAGCAAGAAACAATACAACCCCTGGGCTTCCCCACCAGTGCGGGCTGCGGTCTTTTGAACCGCAGCTCAGGGGTATGACCGGGCTAAGGAGGCCATGTGGAGGGACGTCTGCGCCCAAGCCTGAGCACCGACTGAAGGGCGCCGACAGCGCCGGTTTTTCTCTGCGAGGAAGGAACCAATGGATGGGGGGCTGCCGTTTCCCTGTGACTGGTGGGCCTTGATTCCGAATCATCCTACTAATCCTACTAATCGTACATCCTTGGTCACTGAGTGGTTCTCTTCCTCTCTTCATGCGGCTAACGTGTTGTAAAAAATGATGGATAATGATGGTTCTCCCATACTCTGCCCCCAGCCGGACCTTTCAAGCAATTGAAGATGCCCCTGTTGATCACAACTTCTCTGTGGCCCACTCCAAACCTCACCCCCAAGAAACCTGGCCCTACCCACTCCTCGGCTCATCCAAGCGCCCAAACGCCGCCTCCCCGACCCGCATCCCCATCCCCTCCGCAGGCCCCGCGCCCCCGCCTTGGCAGGGTTGTTGGGTCCATGGGATCGTTCGCTGGCTTGTTCCTGGCCCGTTCATCCGGGTGTGGGTCGGACATGACGCGAGATCCCGGGGGAGCAGTGATTGACTATAAGGCCCAAATGCTCCATGTATGCCATATATGGCGATCAGTTGGGGTGGTGCCAGGGGGTCAATGTAGGCATATATTGCATACATGGAGTGTCTGGGAGGTGTTTCTATAAAGGCAGGAGGTCTGGGATCCACCGAGTGCAAAAGGCCAGGTTCATCCAATCCCCAAAACCATTGGCGCCAGGCGCCAGGCGCCACATCGATCGGCAAGCATGGCATAGCAATGGCGCACCAAACAGAACCTTCTCAGGGAAAAGTAAACGTACCAGCACCTTCAGTTCGGCGTCACCTGGCTGGTTTTGCCCCAGCCCTGTACTTAGGGATCTTCATTGGACACCCCTTGAGGTCGGGGACCCGGAGAATTGGAAGTGGATGGGACCCGACCTGCAACCCTTGTGTCACCTGTCCCCGCAACACACCAGTATTGGCCAGCCATTTTGCCACCTGTCAGATTGGGATCCACTGCTCCGCATGCGCCCAATGGCGAGTTCCTGCCAAAGCGGCCATGTCCCCATCGCCAAATGGCCAGCCGCAGGTCGCGCTGCGCTTCGAAGCGGAGCCTCGCTGCTTGCAGGTCGCGCGTGTCTCGCACGCAAGGATCTGCAAAGTTGTCCTCCCGCCGTAGGTGGACCCTCACGACCCTCGCCGGTGTCGTTCTCGCCATCAGTTCCATCTTCGTCCTAGTGGATCAGTGGCCTTGATGCACCATCCTGGACAATTCAAGGGGTCTCCTGTCTGCAGAGGGTTGTAGTGGGCTGGGGGCGAAACCGCCCGCCCGCAGCCATGACGACGTGTCCAGAACGTTCGCAGCCGACTTCGGGCGGCTTCACGGCCGCTTTCGGGGTCGAAGGACCAAGGGCTTGGTGAAAATGGGCAGGCCGACCTAGCAGAGTGAAGCAGTGAAGGGGGACAGCACCCCTGAGGTGTTGTTTTTTCGTTTCTCGGATGTGGATGGTGCATGCCTGAATTCTTTTTGTGCATGTCCTTTTGAAGCCAGCTGTGTTTTTGTTTGTTCTTCCAGGAAGCCATGCAGAAGGGCATTCAGGGACTTGGTCTGATTTGTTTAGGTTTCTTGGGATTATTTTTGCTGAGCGTATGTTTTAAGCAATTGATTCATGATGGGGAATCTGGACCATGAACCGGATCAACCGTTGGTCCTCTCCCTGCGAAGTCTCCGAGTCTCACCGGTCTTTGGTTCGGAGCCACCGCAAAGCAAAGGACCACGAGCGCCCACGGCTGTGGCTCTGCCCACTCGAGGATCCCACGAAGTCTTGGACCAATCAGGGCCCACCACAGGCCCATACCTGCGGCAACTGAAGCGTTTGGGGCTGAACCCAGGCCGGCCAAAAGCCATGGGTTCCATCTGTTTCATGATACTCGTCCCCGGGATCCGAGAATCATCCGGGATCCGAGACCAAATGAAAAAACAGTCCGAAAGAATCTTAAGAGTTCAACACAAACACCACCATCAGTCTCAAACAAATGACTTAGAAAACAAACGTACAAACAAACAAACAAACCAAACCAAACCAAACCAAACCAAACAAACAAACCAAACCAAACAAAACAAAACAAAACAAACAAACAACGATCACATGAGTGCGTATTGAAATAGGGAGACCCGCCGGGCCGCTGGGCTTTGCTTTTCTTCCTTCCACGAGAGGTCTCCCTACTTTGATACACACCCGCATGCTGAAGCAATTCGGCTGTACAGGTCCCCCAAAGAACTCCTCCGATGGTCTGCTGCAGCGTGTGATCCTGATCCCGGATCCGTGCTGCTGCCATGAAGCCAGATGGAAGGACTGCCACCAGAGCGGCGCGAAAGAAGGGATAGCCCAAATGTAGCCAGAGATACAAAGCAAAATACACCTCAGTCAGGCCAGAGAAGTCATCTTGTCGCCACCGGGGTGGCCGGTGAGGATAGGAGTGCCGGGCCGGTGAATCACATCCAACCCATAGACACTGACGAACCAAGGGGACGAACCAAAGCCACACCCCAACTCCACGTGACTCCTGGGAAGCTGTGATTGACGTTGTACTCACTGTTCGCCCAAGAGGGTTAGTTCATTTTTTCTATCCCAGGGCGGAGGGCTTAACGAACAGATTTGGACGAGCTTTGATGCAACCCATTGGTTTATTATATATGTTGTAATATACATGTTACATATACCCTAGGGCTCCAGTCGTGCCTCCTCAGGTTCGGTATGACTGGACCCGAACATGGCACCCACCCCAGTCCCACCTTCTCAGGTTCGGTACGACTGGAGCCCTAGGGATATATATATATATATATGTGTGTGTAATAAAATAATATACATGTTATATATATGTCATGTAAACTATATATAGTAATATACCGTATCTTCGATGTTTAGGGGGCTTACTTCATCCTCTGATTTCGGTGTAAGGTTTCCCCATGTGAACATCTGGTCGCGCCTCTCTTCGCGCCTCGAACGTTGGTCATCCCAAACGAACGGTGAGACGGGATGGGTTGAGACAAATGATGATGTTTTGAGATCCTAGTGAACAATGAGGGATGCTTGTGTGTCTGTCACATCGCCGGCTTTTGTAGGCACAGCCTCATCAAGTCTAAACAACGTATCAAACTATATATAATAGTTCCAACATATTCTCAATCATTAATATATCGTGGGCAACAAATAGATTTAGAAACGGTGTGCATTTCTAGTGGGATCTACAAACATCTACATATCTATTTGGGGGTCTATATATCACATGGACTGCGCGCTGAGTCGAGATTCTTGACTTCAAACAGCGAACAAAAGGCCGAACGACACTGGATGGGACCGATCACTTTGCAGATCGGTCCCAAAGCCAGGCCGAACGACTTGTGAATCATGTAGAATCTTGAATTTGATTTACCCTCCCAATCCCCCCCACATGAGAAGGATGTCCAATTCAAACAGGGGCCATTCCCCCCCCCGAAAATCCGGGAAGGGGAGGGTTGTGGGCGCGCGACAGTCCGCAAGTGCGTGCATTCAAACAGGGGTGGTTTATGAATCAAGAGTCTACATTTACCAGGACAACATTTCGGCTTGAAGTCCTTTTTAGGTGTGTTGAACCCCCATGCCAAAGCCCAGTTGTTCTTTTGGTGGGGGAGGAGTCGCACAACTTGTTGTTGCACCTCCTGGCAAGATACCGTTTTTCCATCCCAAAGCCATTCTCATCCCTGGGTTTTGCCGCGCACAAGCGAGCACACGCCGAGCCACTGAAATGAAGGTCATGATGGAGGTGTGACTGCTTGGAAACCCGGGATCCTCTGGAGCACGACCTCAGATCAGTGGGGTCGCGTGCTGTTGAGCCGCCAGGGCGTTGGGAAGAGGATGGTGAGAAGAAACTCTGTACAAGATACATGGAACTCAAAGAAGGAGCAAGAGTTCCAAGTACAGAACAAATCTGGCCCTGCTGTGAGTCCATTCTCCATAAGAGATCTTCACCAAGCCTATAACTTTTGGAACGAGCTCTCTTGGTCCTGGCCCTGTTGTGGCGTTCGGCCCTGATGCAATTCTGGAAATCTCACTGGTCTGCCGGTCACACCCGGGAAGAGACCCACGTGGAACCTGAACATGGACCTGACTGGAAGACGGCTGTTCCTCTCCAACCCGACGTGGCTTTCAGGTTCCATGTAAATGTTCCAGGGTGTAGCTGAACCTAGCAGTTTAAATGCAGTGTCAAGCTGAAGCTATTTAATAGTGGAGGGTTGTCTATTGGAGGTCGTTGATGGTATCCTAATGTATGCTAATAACGCATTGCACATTGTCGAGGTTTCTGTAGTTGTTGAACATGTCATGTTGAATACCCTCAATGCTAGGCTCTGTTTCAAGATCTTTAGCCGGGGTTACTTTTTACAGCAAACTGGTGGTCCAACGCTGTTGACGAACGCTGGGGATGGAATATACGTGGTTTCTTCGAGAAAATGATGAACACCTGTTGGAGAATGGCCGACCTGGACTTACATAGAATCCTGTTTAGCTACGCAACGTGGGGGTTGCCTTTCGATGCTGGCTTTGCATCACACATGTTGCAAAGTCTCGGGGATCATTCTCATGTCAAGATCCTCTGTCACATATTGACCAACATCGATCAACTAAGCTCACCCGGAAGAAAAACACTTGCGAAGCAAAAGACCTCTTCGGAGCTCGCTCCGGAGCTCCGCTCCGCCCCCGTTCCGAGCTCCTCAGGCAGCGACGAGAGTTGCTGGGACGGCGCCAGAGCGTGCCAGTGGAGTCGAGGCATTTCACCAAGATCTTCAGGCCCTTGGTGATGAAGTTGGCCAAGATCACGCCTAAGGTACCTCAACTCAGTGGGCATCACGCTCGCACAACTCATCAGTCACGGTCGCGCGTCGCGTTTTTGCTGCAAGGTCCAGGCTTCAGTACTGACTTCCCTGCGCTTGCTGTACTACTTTAGGGTGTTGATGTGTGATCTGTGGTGTTTCTTCTTCCGGGACCAACGTTCCAAACCTTGGAAGGAGCGAAAACGACCAACGTCCCGTCCGACCCACGAACCCGGAGCGATGGTCCGGCCGGGTCAAGAACGGAGGAGCGCCAGGAGCGTGAGCGCCGACCCGGTGAGTCACAGGTCTGATCTACAGGTGACAAGGTGAATACATAGGATCTATATCCTATTACCTGGGCCCAGTGGATGATGGGGTCTGGTTGCAGGCCTTGTTCAATGATTTTTCTTCGGACAGACCCAAAGAATACAGGTCACAAGGTCTGATCCCCCAAAAAACTCAAGTCAAATATCACAAGGTGCAAAGGTGATTGAGTTGAGGAACAAGCAAAAAAAGTTTGGGGGCCTGAAACCCTGAACCTCATGCCGTCTTGTCTGCATTTAGAAACACAATGTGTTCCAGCCAACGTCTTGACTCTTGACCCAGCATGTACCCATGAGAGCGGGCATCTCATGGGTATTTTGCACACATGCTGTGCATGTGGATCACATACCCTGGTGAACATCTCCCAATGACCCAAAATGGTCTTTCACACTGTCTTTCAACTATAACAATGCCTTTAAGCTATATATATATATACCGTATATACTTGGATCTATTTGGGGTTGAACCCACATCCTGTGGCTGGACGTCCATCTTCGTGCTTGAAAAACCGTGCATTCAAACTGGATTTCATATGTCCCGATTCATTAAGCAGGGAGTCAGTTGTGGGATCCACTTCATTTGGGCCTAAGATCATGCAGATTGTCCCATGCAGATTGTCCTCTTTTCATCATCGCTTGGAAGGACAATGGCATGAACATGGCCCGGCTGTTTTCCAGGCTTCAATTTCCTCCGTTTCAAACGGTGTTTTGCTTCCAACCTTTCTGTCAGTAGTTAAAATCACATCGAACACATACTACTACCAGGGTCATCCTGTCTGGGTGTCCTGCCGTTCGACTACCCTACCCTACGTAAACAGGTCTCCTACTCAAGGGCACCCAGTAAGGAAGTGCTTAGGTATCTATCCCCTAGGGCTCCAAAGGTGGTTAGACCCCCTGGCACCCACCCCAACCATCTTCTCAGGAGGTAGTTGGAGCCCCAGGGATCATACTAACGACAATGGGACTTGTCCAGCCCGCAGAAGGGAGTCAGATGCAGAAAAGGACGGCCGGGCCGGCCCAAACCATGCGACGGCGGGGAGTCTACCAATCTCCGGCTCCGCTGATGGAAAAGCAAATCGATTGTTCAACATGTTCCCAAATCAACGAGGGAAGCAGTGACAAATCCGTTTTGGCATGTGGGTCAAAACCCTGGGTTTCACCACCCAAAACGGAAGAGGACCTGGCTAGTAACTATTCTGTTCATTTGGGTGTATCAACTCAAATCAACTGGTTTTGACCCCACAGCCTTTTCACGATTCACCATACCCAAACTGACAAGTCTGGTCATCTCTGCCCGACTTAGACCCCTGATATCAACCACACCAGACAGGTCGTGTCTGGGAGAGTTGACACGTGTTGATACCCAAATCCGGGCCCGAACCAACCGATAGGGTTTGGTTCGGCCCCTACTCCCCCTGCGTTTCGGTGGAGAAGGTCCGACCCCGTGCCATGGAGAGCCTATACGGATTCCGAGCGGCAGAGTGGTGCCACCTCCCGTTTCAGCACCTGCCAAGTGACTCGCAGAGACTCGGTGCTTTTGAAAACACCGCACGTTTCACCCATGTCGATCCCGAGAGTGGGGGGGATGCATCCGGCTTGCCATGCTTGGGATGACGCTATGGATGGAGCAAATCCGGACATTACCACCCTCAGGGAGTGCCCACAATCCACCTAATAGGAATGTACACGGATGTACAAAGAGTATTTCACAACTGCGCTAAGTATCAGTGATACAAATGAAGTTGTCCGCTTTCACGAGGATGATGTGTAGCATTCCGTGAATTGTTTGAGCCTCTCTTTGGATATCAATTGGGTCTATCCTATTGCCAATATATAACAGTGGATGATGATGGTTAGGTTGCAGGCCTTGTTCAAAAATAGTGAATTGCTAATATACTGACTGTTGCAGGTAATAGGACAGACCCAAGACATCAAACTGACCCATTCAGCGCTATCCAAAAGATTCCAGGATTCCAGTGCCTCAAAAGGCACCCACCCCGGTTCCAGCAGTCGCTTCCAGAAAGCATGTGATTGTGATGGTCCCTTCAGTGATTTTAGGAAGGAAGGAGGCATTCCGGCATTTCACTTCAACTAAGGTACATTCAGGGTCAAAAAATCATGGCTTCACCCTCAATATGTGCTATTTGATGATGATTGGTGTTGCTCAAGTGATCCCAAGTGGTTAGGTGGATTGTTGGGCTATCCAAAATCATGCGACATGGGATCTGCATCATGGTCATACTTTTTGGACCATTCCACGATCTACTTGAAAATGACCCGCTGGTCAAATCCTTTTTAACCCATTGAACCTCTTTATTGCAGTTTTCAACAACATCTTCAACCAGTCTCCAACAATATACAGTAACAAGGAGAACTCAGGTTCGTGACTTGGGAACTCCAAATTCACTTGACAAACACATCTTTAAAGCAAAACCAAGGATCCAGTAAACACACCACACAATTCATTGCCTCCCGTTGCACCTGGAGCAAGCTCATGGTGAGGATCACCAGCACAGTCAACAAGTTGGACCAGCCCACCAGGGGTGCCCACTGGTCACCTGTGAACAAACACAACTCAGGTTGGGTTGATGGGTGCGTTACTGCATCACTGGACACCTTCCCCCGACCTGCAAAACCGTTTGCTACATGTTACTACATGGTCTGGCGTTGCACTCAATCGACAGGCCAGCTTGTGGAGAAGGCCTCAATCGGCAGGTGACCTCTGTTTCTTCCGGGTCCGCAACAAACATCTGGGATAGTACACCCTGGAAGACTAACATGGACCCTGAAAACCACTGGTTGGTAGAGGAAAACACTCTTCCAGGGGGCCATTGCCAGGGTCTATGTTAGTTTCCGGGAGTGTAAGGCTTGCTGAGAATCTGGGTCCGACAAGCTGCAGCTAAGTTGATGCAAGTTCCGCAGCTTGGAGGGAAGGGCCCCCAAAAGAAAGATTTGGACATCATCGAAAAAAACGGGACGCGGGTGGGGTCGAGGTGATGTTTTTTTCCACGAGTACGGACGCCATGTGGGCGGAGTGCCCAGGTCATCAATGGGGTCGAGGTGATGTCAAAGTGATGCCTCATCCAGATATCTTGCTATAATTTGCTATATAATGCTATATGTATCATTGCTAAATTGCTAAACAATGTTAAACCTTTATTCTAATCAATACATTTTCTTACAAACCTCCCAAACAAATATCCTAAAGGTCCAACTCAATCTCCTCCCCTTCCTCGAGCCTCTTTGCTCCCCACTTGCCCTTCGTCTGCTTCGTCGCCATCGCGGCGGCGGTGCAGGTGGCCGGCGCAGCTTCGGCACCAGCCCTGGGTGCCCAGGTGCCAGGAGGGTCTAGTCATACCGAACCTGAGGAGGTACAGCTGGAGCCCTCAAAATGGTGAACATGGAAGATTCACATGGACAATGAAGTGCCCCACCTCAGGTTGGTATTCGGAGTATTCTTCGTCCAGTCTGGTGAAAATGCCAAGCCCGCTTCGACGTGGGGTCGGTGGAACCCGAGTGTAAATCCCTTGATTGACCCAAACGAACTCGGTCGGTCTGGATGTCGAGTCAGGTCTTTACGCGACGAGGTTCGACCCGAACGCACGTCATCCGAAGACGTAGAACCCGCTTTAGACATGACTTCAAAGTCTCCGAAAGGTAGCACGAGGCTGCGCGGCCAACGGCTGGCCTCGCCTGCAGTGGCCGCAGTGGCCCGTAGACATGGCGAGATGCAAAGAGGACTCTCCATGGCCGAAATAGGTCTGCGGAGAGAACACAAGTCCGGTGGCCTTTTCAATTGGCAAAACCCAAAATGCTTACGTCACTTCCAAATTGGTGTCATTGACCTTATAAACAAATTGAAGGCATATCAAATTATGTCAAGAAAGGGGAATCACCCAATGAAACCAGACCGAGTACCTCAAAACCTAGGTTTCACAAGGCAAACCTAGGCTTCCAAGTTGGACTCAGTGGGTTCAAGCGGATCGATCTGAGAATCTTAAGGGTGTCTGCCAACCATCTATGAAATGATTGGTCTTTCATCTTCCAACACGAAATCAATAGATTTATTTCAATGAACATCAATCAAGGATAATCAAGGCCTTCATCTTCCAACGCCAGAATCAGGATTACTGTGAGATACTGTGACGCTGTGAAGCTTGGATGATGAATCTCGAGCGCGTGATACCTCGTCCGCCATGACTGAGATACCTCGTCCGCCGTGACTGCCGAAAGCACCGCGTGCTTCGTCGGTCGTGGCACCGGACGAAGGTGACGCCCGGTCCTCGTTCTGGCACATGAGCAAGCCCAAGATGATGGGCCTTGGGCATCGGTGAACGAGCTGAGTTCGCCGGCATTCCGACGAACTTGTTGTTGTTCCTTCCTTATTTGGGATCGGACTGAAGAAGACTGGATGAACATTGTCTCGACGTCAAAGTTCATGAAACATCCACTTTTGTTTACCACCTTCTCAGCTTTGGTACGGTACAACGCCGAATGCAAAACTGTCAAAGTGGATTTGTGGATCCAAAGAGAATTGATGGGTTGCTTATGGATTTTGTGCTCTACAGGGATAGATCCTTTGGAAGTTCAGAATGTCTGTCTCCTGTTTTGATCTATTTGTCTTTCCCTGCATCCCCAACTACAAACATCACTGCCATGCCTTGTCCGGGTGGAGTACCAACCATAAAACTCAAATGTACATTGCTGGAGCTCAAACAACAAGGAAGCATTGATCTCGAGAAAAACAAATCAATACACCTATACTTCTTCTCTTCTGCATGCCATGGAGGGTTTGCCATGTTCCCTGCCTAACTCCTAAGAATGGGCTGCAAGGCTTGAGTTGGTCGTACCAAAACGGAGCAGGATACGGCAGAAATACAACACCCCCAGAACTCCTGGCGAAGCAATGCCAAAGACCATCTTTGGCGAAGCCTTATGTAAGTCACCAAACTTGAGAATTGAGCCAAGAGAGTGTTGAGGCGGAGTTCTAATCTAATTGGTCTGAAGCACTCCTGTTCTTCCATAGACCAAGCTCCGTAACAGCAACAAAGTCGTTGAACTGGAACCACCTTAACCTAATTTAACCCATCTTATCAATCTTGAGTTGCAGTTCCATGAACTCTCTTCCGAGTGATGGACCAAATTGAAAGAAGTGCTGGGCTCTCTGTGTTGGATTCTGTTTGACGTTGACAACATGCAAACAAACATACCAGTCCCTGAACGATCGTTCTTCAATGCAAAAAGGACATAGACTTAGCTTCATTCTAGAGAACTGTTCCTGATCTCCAATGGACTAAAAAGAAAAAAGGATAGGACTCTTGTGGTTCTCAGCTAGTGAAGGACTTCCTCCAAGTTCAATTTCTCCAGCAGCACAAGCCGCTTCCGCTTGCAGTAGACTACTTCACCAGCTCCAGGGCTCCTGCGTATCCTGGATGGCATTCAGCTCGGTAAGCCCTGTCATGACCTTAACATGCAATTGAGAATTGCGCCATCTGAAGCACATCTCCCTTGGTTGCCCATCTGGTTGCACATCGTGCAGTTGCACTCTTCACTTCAGTGTACTCGCGTACTCTTCACCTCGCACTCCTGTTGTTTGTAGTATGTTCTTTAGAAGGAGCACTGGAGCACTCCCCCGTACCTGACGTTGCTTAAAGGATGATGTAACGCTTCTTTTTCGCCAAACCAAACCTAACACAATGGTCCATTGACCTGATGCCCCTGGATGCAGTGTCCCCCAGGTTGATTTAAGTTACGTACAAGTTGATGGACCAATCATCATAAACATCTCTGAACAACACAGTAGAATATATGGTTTAAACATATAACATTGGTATAACTGCCATGATGACATAATTGTGGATCTTTGTGGATCTGCTACCCCTAGAGCTAGCTTCTTATAGGCACTTCAGTCATGCTGACGGACAACCTGTCCATCAGCCATGGGACAGCCAAGCACATGGCAAGAAACTCCACCTACTCCGGCTATATACCCCTTCTTCTGTTCTCCTTCTCTGTCTTTCAAACAGTTAAACTGCATTATAAATATCTAATTAGTTATATATATATTCTTCCTGTGGGGCCCACATATCATGCTCATTGATGTTCCTTCAGATGCTTCAAACCTTTTCAAGCGACCTGGCTCTTTCCCTGGTCCACTTTCGCACCTGCGGATGCACCCACGACCTCGCGTGCCGGGATCCCCGTAAAAGGTGCGCGCCGATGTGCTCTGCCCTCCGCTCCGCCGCCGCTGGTGGCCCCCGGCAGCGTTACAGGATCGATCGTACAGGTCGCTGGAGCCTTTAATCAACACGCCGATGACCTGCAGCGACCAACCGAAGCCGATGACCCGATGTTGCGGTCAGGCCTAGGTCGCGTATAGTCACGTTCGACCGGGTGGCGGGGGCCGGCCGGCGGAGGCGTAGTGAGACGGAAGGAGGCCGGGATCCCTTTTTCATCGTCCCTAGGATGTTCTTCGGATGCACAGAAGATCGGTGCCGGTGTGGTAGGAGGAAAGGAGCCCAGGCATGGAGGGAGGGCCCTTTTGGGTGGATGGGTGGTTGGGAGTTTACAAAGAACAAATCCTTTGACACAGAGATGAAAAAGAAAGTCTTGGGATTGATTTGGCTAAGTCCTTCTTCCACCAAAAACCGGACCCCAAACCGAGGATCTCATACCAGGATCATCCAATGAGTGTCCTGGCTAGACTACCCTACTTGTACGTAAACAGGTCTCCCAGGGCACCCATTGGAAGTGCTAGGATCTCATCGTTTTCAACGAGGTGGATGTGGTTCACTGGACTCCGCTGGACATTTCGCTCAGTCTGGACCTTTCGCTCGCTGGACTTCGTGCGGCGTGAGCTTGGTCGACCGTGCGCAAGCCACGAAAAGCCCGGGGTTCTCCGTTCGTTTCAGTGAAATTGCCTGGCAACCAAAGACGGGTGACAACGATCCATGAAAAACATGGAAAGCACACTTTTGCCAGGTGCAGCGAAGGAGGAGGAAAAACCGTCGGACGACCCGGGTGCCATCTGACCTGGGTCAAGTTGTCAGGTTTACATCTACCCCACCAAGGCTCCAAGACCCACCATGAGAACCTTCATCTTGTGACTCACCGTGTGGGCTTCAAAAACAACGACTTCCGTGAAAGGGTTCGGTGCTCTGGGGCCCCGGTTTAGAAGTTTCCACTCCCGGAGTCTTCATCATGAGCCAACGTGGAGGACGGGTGGCCCGGAGATTTCTCAGATGATCATGAAATCCATTGAAATCATCATACCAGACAGGTGCTGCCATCCACTTTCATAGACTATTTCAGGGAGTGTAAGTATCTTCCGGCCACATGTGGCACTCCGGCATACCTGGTCGGATCCATTTCGGATTCAACGGGTTATGTAAGTGGCTTCACTTGAAAAGTAAAGGTCGAACATCAACTAGTTCATAATCCCTAGGGCTCCAGTCGTACCTCCTCAGAAGGTATGACTGGAGCCTCTAAACCCACCCCAAACACCTTATTAGAAAGTACTTGGAGCCCTCGTGAATATAGAGTTGCTATAATATGTTGCTGTACAGCAACCATCAGCAACACCACCGAAACAGTGCTCTCGACATGCCCAAGCTCTGGTTCCCTCAGGTCAAGGCAATGATTGCATCAGGCTTGTGATGTCCTTGGCCGGAGGGAGCTGGATTCTGAGACTTGCACTCCTCCAGTTTTCTTGAGCCAAGGATTGAGTACCAACCCCCAACCAAAATACATCAGAGGCAATGCCAACGATGCTTGGCGATCCAATATATCACTAAGGCTGAAAGCCCTTGACCGGCTTTAGTCGGTTTGACTGATACAAACACCAGTCTGGATGAGTCAGCATCTTTGACAAAAAGCACCACAAAGGCTCTGGCCTTGTTGTCACGTGATATCACTCCATGCAAAAAACCATCCCACTCAATCCCACTCAGTCTTGTGCCATCCAAAACCCACCGCCTCCCCTCCCATCCCACCCACCTTCCCACCCCTCAGCTGCGAGCTAAGGGTGATCCGAGCGCCAGAGACAAGCTCCAACGCGCCAGGCACGGCCATCTTCAACACCTCCACCCGGCATCCTCGCGGCGCCGTGCTTCGGGGCTCCGAGGCTCTACTCGGCTCGGAGCCTTGGAGGGTTTGAAGTTGAATCCTCCTGAAGTTCAAACATTTCTGGGTTTGATCTGTTCAAATGTCTGGAGTTCAATCCTCTTGAAAAGAAATCTGGGTTCGATGGGTCAAGGAATATGTTTGCTATGGCGCAAGAAGGAAGGACCCAAACAACAAGTGGCAAATGGATACAAAGAGAACATCTCTGGATTGAGGATCTCCACTTCAGTTTTAAGCTTTATATAGATATACGTATAAGAACTCACTCACCTGGGAAACCCTCGGTCACCACAGTTGATCATTGGTCCAACAGAAGAAGCCCAAGATCGTTCAGGAATCATTGCCGAAATTGGCTTTGGTGAAGACATTTCAGGGACCCAGGGAGGGCATGTACAGTACAATTTATACTTTGACTCTGTAGACTTCTCGTGCACATGCATAGATAGACTAAAGATTCAAGAACATCATGTGGAAAGAGTACCTCAACCACACATGGCTCTCATAGTGACTACATGCGTCATGCTCACCCTGTGGCCATTATCTTTTGACAAACTGACACACAACATTCTTCCAGCGTAGACCCGAAACGGAAGAAGGAACAGCGGAAGCAAAATCGAATTGAATCAACTGTGCAGCTTGAACATGGCCAACAAAATGCCAACGCGATCTTTGTCAAGCCAGGTCAAGGCTCAAAAGTAGTCAAGTGTTGAAGACACACCAAACGGCCGAAAAGACAACGAGAAACAGCCGGAGACAAGCAGAGGAGGCCCTACGGCCGGCAAAAGCACCCTTTCAAAGGAGTAAGAACACTTCACAGGTATTGGGTAAACATCAAAGAGCAAAACACTCCTTCTTGACATTGGGCTTTTGCACACAAGAAACATCCACTCTCACTATATAGGACACAACAACTTTGCACAACCCACAGGTAAGTCATGTGGGAGCTTTGGATGGCATAGGTGAACCCAACACCTCCAATAAGAATGGGGTCTCGTATGCTGAAAAGGTCCATCAGGTCTTACCAGGTCTTACCATCAAATCCCCAACCACCATCCAGCACCAAATGGGAGGTAATAGGGAGACCCACAACCAACAGGTTCGTTTCGGTCTCCCTTGAAGGTCGAAGGAGGTCTCCCTATTCTATCCCACACCCATCTCATCTCTGTTTCAAAGGCCTTGTTTTGTAAACCGCCCATTTCTCAGTTCCATCCACACCACCATCCACCATCCACCAGCACGATTCTGCTGCTCCAAGCCGCGCTCGAGCTCAGCTTCTGCGGCACTCCGCAGCTCGTCCACCTTGGGCGGGCAAGGCTCAAAACTTCGCAAAGCCAGGCCACCCCTGCGAGGTCCAGAACTACCCCCTATAGGGCTCCGTTGGCCTCCTCAGGTTCGGTGGGATTGGAGCACGAGTTCGGTTATCAAAGTCGGAATGTCCTGACGACTGGCCTGTCGGTCAAGTAGTAAAGTAGTCGAACTGGACCAAATACAGTGTGTAATACGTCGAACTGGTCTACCTGTTTCAGTGCGTTCTGGTGGATGTCCTCTTGCATCATCTTGCATGCTGTTTTTGTGGGCCCTGGAAACCCCGTGCTGCAGGTCACAGGTAGTTTCAGGAGTGGTTCTTGCCAGACCTGGCGATTCACCAAAGACTCCATTCACGTCTTCTCCATGTCTAGACGGACGTTCGCATCTCCGTTTTTTCCGCACTCTGGACGTTCACACGGAGCAGGTCACACGGAGCGAGCATGTCACTTGGGTTGGCCTGGTACACGATCTAAGCCGTGTGAGATCTAAACCATTCTAAACCTCTTACATATGGTAAAGACATCAAAAGGGGAGTATGGTGTTTTTGTTCCCGACCCTATCGTTTCATATCGTTTCTGAAGGCTTGCGTTGTTTTCTTTTTCGACAATGGTGGCTGCAACTTCTGGGATGAACCCCCAAAATCGGAGATGGATCTGCCATCCTCTTCGAGGCGGCCCCTTTTGCTTCGGTAGTGTTCGTGGGCATCCCCTGCAGGTCCTGGGCATATGGGCATCCCTGCGAAGTACTGATTCCACATCGCATAGACGATGCCTATTCGAAGTTGCGAAGGGGGCAAACCTGCGCGGACTCTCGGACAAAGCATTCAAGGGATAGAGATGGATAGATAGGGAAGTCAATTGGGTGGTCAGTTTGGCTGGCAACTGGTCCTATGTATTCAACAGCGCCGCTTGTTGGGTACTTGGCAACAAGGATCCTGCAGTGGTAAATCACAAGAAGATATAAGAAGCATTTGCACTGGTACCTACTGAAACCATCTGGACCATTTAGAAAGCTCCATGCAGCAACCTTTAGACTTCAAATATCTATTCCAAATCATGATATTTACCTGACCTATTCATTCCAACTCGGATCATACAACTTATGCAGACCCGGGACCGCGACCAGTTCGTCGTCCAGTGGACCTCCAGTGAGTTGGTTCATCCTGCCGCCCTGCCATGATAACACATGCTGAACATAAAGATCGATGGATCAACGATCGCAAATCTGTCCCAAAGATGTGGGGTATAGTCGGTATAGTACGTATTTGTGTGTTTCTCGTAAATATGGTTTGGTCGTTCTACACACATGAAGCATATGGACCAACAGGGCATATATTGGTTGACGCGACTCACTCGTCAAGGTACGTGATTCACTCGTCGGGAAGCGAACCGGGCGAGTTACATTCATGACAGGCATTACTCATACCAGTGCATCCCAGTTACCACTATAGCTGGTAACCAGTTGGTTCCAGTTCGACTACAACCACAGACCGAACGAATCCCTGGTTCCTTATAATTATAGTGGTTTGCCTGGGATGCACTGGGCATGAGATTAATCACATTATGATTGAACACTTTGTGAGGTCCAACACTGTGGTGTCACACACCCAACGTCTTATGACACATGGAACCTGAAAACTATACGTTCCTCTGCGTCTTCCTTGCAGGTCCATGCCACCAGAAAAGCATGTGAGTCTCTTTTGTTGTTCCTTTTCGGGTATAGATGTTTAATCATGTTTAATCTATTTCATGGGACACTTGATAGAAATTGATAGGCAAACTTGGGAAACTTTGGTAGACCTGTCTGCCGCTAAACCTGACAATATAGTTGTTTGGTAAAATAAGTGTGTTCTTAATGGTCTAGACCTTCATGGGAAAAGGTTTCCCCCACCGTACTCCAGTCTGACCCAGTGACCTCCGGTCCCTCCGAGCCGGTTGGTCAGACCGGCTCGGAGGGACCGGGATAGACATGACGGGCCCCCCTTGACTCGGTAGGGCCGTAGCAACGGCCAGCCTGGACCTATAAGCACCCGGGTCTCGTCGTTCCACGCGTCGGCGACGGCGACGTTGACTCTTCGCCCCCAAGGGACTGAGCTCCGGGAGTTTGAAGGTTTCCAGCACCGTCCGATGATTCAGCCTGCGAGCAGCGCCGTGGCGCCACGGCGCCACCGTGGCTGAAGGGTAGAGTTGCATTGAAACAACACATCTAAAGTTCATGCAGTCTGCATTGAAGCGGCTGATACAGTGATTTCCCAAAAATTCGGGGGTCGGGAGTTGAAGCAAAAGTGCTGGGGGAGTACTTGGGGGAAACAAACGCTGTCAAAGACTTAGATTATACATTGGGTCTATCCTAATTACCTGTAACAGTGGATGAAGATGGTTAGGTTGCAGGCCTTGTTCAAAAATAGGTAACAACATGTTTACTGACTGTTACAGGTAGGTTCGGACAGACCCAAAGTATATAATATATATTTAAGTCATCACAGAAAAGAAGACCCTGTAGCATGGACAAGTTCGAGCTCTCCTCCGAAGACCAACTTCAAGAAGCAAACCCAAACCATCTTAGTCGGGGACATTCTTCCCACCCACAATGAGCTGTCAGTGGCGACTCCCTCGAAAGCTTGTCAAAACCACAATCAGGGAACACTTTGCAGGGGGAAGACTTGAAAAAACACGTGCCCAATCATGTTCAAATCCCAAATATCCCAAATCCACAATCTAAAGCAATCTTGTTTAGAATCCAAAAACAATTCATTAGAACTGTTGGATTTCCATTTTGTGCTAAATTCACACACAGCAAGGGGGGCTTCCCAAGCTCACCCAGCTCACATGCAGCCGCCATGGGCAAATCCCAGAAGATGGTGTCCAAATGTGTCCGAACCTGCCATCACTGGCCATCACTGGCTAGATTCGCTTCACTGGGTTTACTCACCCTTCACATCGTCTGCCATAAACGCCATGTCTACCGTCTACCCTCTCCCAACCGGCGAAGTCACCAGCGTCGCCCTCCATGTCCGGCTTCTGCCGCACGCGACACCCGTGGGACCTGTGGTGTTCTCCGTTGAATCCACTCGCCCAAACATCCCACATCCCATCCCACCAAAGGTGTTGAATCACCTGAATTCCGAAACAAGGCCGACCATCTAACCTTCTCACAGGCCAACCCTGGATCCCTTAGCTCGTTGTGCAACCCTTCCTTTCTATTTACTAGCTGTTCCAATCAGACCTCGTCCCCAACCTCTCTTGTCCCCATCCTCCCACCGGAGTCAGCTGACTCCGGATCATCTCTCGCAGTCATGATGAGTCGGTTCGCCTGTCTTTCTTGGTCTTTAAGTACCCGATGTTGCGCTCGTTGACCACGGAGGGCATGGCCACCACCTGCCGAAGGAGACCAAAGGAGACCGAAGGAGAGAATCCATCTCTCCGTGAGGGGAGGATCGGCCCGCGATAGATTCACTAAGTTTGGGAAATAACCATCCACAAAAAGCAACACCAACATCCAGGCCAAAACCAGTCGTGTTTTTCTGTGTCCAGGCTGGACATGACTAATTAGACTTAATGACACTGAAGGGGTACTCCAAACGAACGACGAAACCAATGTGTCCGTTCTTGCTGGTGGTTTGTTGAAACAACAGCAAAATACGGTCGACATCACAACTATATTTTGTTTCATGTTGTTTTTGCTTCTCGGACACAGCGTTTCAAGGGCCTACCCTCTAGAGCAAATAGCAGGCACATAGCTGGCAACCAAAAACCAATCACGGTCCAAAATGTCAATATATGATAATATATGTATGTACGCCATACCCAAACGCTCCAAACAGCCCTTGGTCCCTCAAAACCATAGGGATTGGTTCGGGTCCAGACCCCTGCAAAGGATTGTCCAGGAGCGTTTGGGTATATGGTTTCACCATGATTTACGACCGTTGTCCCTTCGTATCGATGAAAAGCGCCATGAATTGATCCCTTTCCAACGTGAACAGCGACGACGGCTCGACAAAGGCAGCAGCAGTCGAGACACGTCCAACTGAAAGAGACACGTCCAACACTGTCAGAAGAATACTTGGGCTTCTTGTTGGGCATCTTGTTGCTCTTGTTCTTGTTGAAGAACTACTCTTGTTGGAGAAGTAGTGGTGTGACTTGCTTTGTTGGGCCAAGATAATTGAAAGACTCACATCTATTGAATCGATTGCCTTTATTCGCGTGTTCCTTTGGTCTTGTTCAAGAGTAGACTGAACCTCAACAGCAATTAAACCAGTCCATCATTAAAATTCATTAAACAAAGGAAAACAAGTCGAAACAGCATGGTTGCAACATATGGCCACTGGTAAGTTTGCTTTGCAAAAACTATGCCATGGAACACCACAAAAACCCGACTACAACTGGTGTCCGGACCTTCCTCCCACAGCCAGTGTCAGCAGTAAAGCACCCTTGGAAGAAAAAGAGGGCGCATGACAAATCCTTGCAGTGCAAAACACGTCACGCTGCACAAACCACGTCCTTGCTGTGGCATACGAGCTTGGCGGCGCTGGCACGTCCGTCCTCTGGCCGACGAACTCGACGAACTCGGTCCGGCCTCTTGGGTGATGGATTGGAGCGCCGACATCTTGTCGGGGTTATTGGTGTAGAGGCGGACCGACTTGATCCTGACCGATGACCGAACGCGCCATGACGTTCCCGGTGGATCCCAGGCAGGAACCGGTCTATGGTTAGAGTCGAACTGGAACCACTGGTTCCCAGCTATAGTGGTAACTGGGATGCACTGCACTTTCTCTGAGTAACACAGGAACTACTAGAGCAAGTCAAACGGATAGGAACGATGACGAAAAACCAAGCAATATTCAAGCAACATAACACAACAACTATGATCTTAAGAGGAACCATAGCTCAAAAGGAGTGATGCACTGCATCTGGAGAGGCCTCGGAATCAAGGGATTTTGTTGGACAAAGAAGATGCCGATATCGGTGGTATACTTGTCATCCTGGCCTCTTGGTGGGTTTTCTAGGCTGACATCCAAGTCATGTCAGTGTGTCTTGGATTGATTGTGAATCACTTCAACGATCTAGAACCTTAACTGTTGCCTCTCGCTAAGCAGAATGGGCACCCGATAACGCTTCGACGCGTCGACTGATGCATTTCTGGAAGATCCAGGGTGCCCAGTGGCCAGTTCTACAGCGGAGCACGAGGAATTCATTCATTACATGAGTCACATGAGTATTAAACAAACAACAACAATATTGAAACAAACGAAGAAGCAACTCATCGCATTAATCACATGTAAATATATGTGCAAAAGAAAACACACCCCATATATAATGTCATTCTGCTTCCCTTCTGCTTCCCATCTTGGGTCCGAAAGGTCGCCACGTCGCCAGTGGCCCTCGGATGGGATAGAACTCCGCCCAGTGGCCCTAGGTCGCGCAAGACGAAGAGCGTGTCTCCATAGGTCCGGATGTCCACCTGACGGAGACCACGCCGTCCGGAGGATGTGGGAGCTCTCAAATTCTGTGAGCCACAAATGTGAAGGTTAAATGTGAAGGTCTTGAACAATCCCGGGGGGGTGATGGATTTGTTTGGCATTTTCGTGTATTTTGTATAGTGTAGCGAGCGTCCAAGCCCGTTCTGAACATGTCCGAACGCTGCGGTCACTCCATCATAGGATGATGTCACTCAGAGTCCAAAAACGACCTGTCTGGGACTGCCGTAGGTTTGCAAAGAAAAGGCCAGGGGTGCTTCGGAAAATCAATGTTGGCATATATTCCAGTCCCATGGTCTGGGTAGTGACTTCTTGTGCATCATACAGAGCCTATTGTAAGATGTGGAAGGCGGAAAACATCCACTGTTGCACGCTAAAGTGAAGTGACAATACTGTAAACAACCACACACAACTGTTGGCAAAAAAACATCAGAATGCCCCCATCCTCCGTATTTACATCATGAATTCACCAAAGCTCCAACTCCAAAACATGTTTTCCATGGTCACCCTTTGCATCCCACCACCGGCCATGCAGGCCGCACCCCAAAAAAACACCATCGACTTGGCTCAACATGATTGGAAGACCGGGGCATCCGGCCGGCAGGCCCAGCTTCAAGTTCGCATCCACGGTGTCATGACCCTCGTCCTGCAGCTGATATGCACCTCGGGTGCGGTTGAGGGGTGCGGAGTGCGGAGTCGGGTTTCTCCCGCCGCGGCAGGGGCGGAGCGGCCGGTGATGGTGGGTGGACTCTGCTGAAGGAAGAATTGAAGCTACGGCGTGGATGGTGTGCGTTGGTGTTTTTAGTGTCCAGCTGTGGTGCGGAAGCGGAATCTGGGTCATCCTCCACATCTGAACGGAATTCGGGAATCCTCCACATCTGAACGCCAGTCAGCTTTTCCTCTCCAGTCAGCTTCAAGGGATGGATGTGGTTCAAGAACATCAAGTCATGCCACACTGAAGACCATCAACCTCCTTGCAACATTCGCTGCCGCAACTACTCTTTTCAGCAAACCTGCACCGCCCAGGACCATAATTGGTCTTTGCTCAGAACGATCCATGGTGGCGTAAAACATGACCTACACGACCACCTGTCACGTAGGCGGCCATATTTGACACCATGAATCGTCTGGGTAATGTGGGTGTGTATTAGAATCCGGAAACCTCCCAGTTAGACCCCTGGAAGAAGGATAAAATGACCACAACCCATTGGTGGGCGGACTTCCCTATTCAATTTTACACACCCATGATCCATGTTTTCGGTTCACATATTACTTTTCGACTTCAGAAACCTGGCATGACCCACTGAACCTGGCCGCATGCCCTCGCCGAACCGCCAAACCGCCCGCCCGGGCATCCCGGGCGGATCTTTGCCGTGAGACCGATGCCGCGCCTGAGAAGGAACCGAAAAGGAAGGAAGTAGAGTGGATTGAGAGGAAGTGGATGGCACAGGGGCCCCCAAGTGAGGTGGTTGAACTATGGACCCCCCATCCGTCTAGGACATCTTGAGGTCTGTGCCATCGAACCTCTGAAGACTATATACTATAGAAAGAAAGTGCCCAACAAACGATTCATGGCGCTAGACACCAAACAAAGCAGGCGCAAAACATGGTCCAACGTTCCTGTATGTCCAGTCTGACAGTTCTATATGTATATATATAATTGTATACTGAATTATACTGATATCCTATGATGGTGTTACTGTGGGTGCCTTTGATCCACTCCCGCATCTAGCATACATCGCTCCCGTATGAGTATAATCGTGTAAGGCAACAAGGCAACAGAAGAAGCAACTGAACAAACTATTTTAGGTTTCAGCCAGACCACTGGAAACAATCCAGAGTTTTCAGGATATCGAATATTGCCCGTCTCTTTCGTTGCTGGGGACCGAGCCCTTCTTGCCCCTTGACGTACAGCAAGACCGCGAAAGGCCTGAGGCAACGGCTTCCGGTGTCCCTATTGTGTTCATAGGAAAATGTCTTTGCCAAACCCTAGGGCTCCAAGTACCTTCTGAGAAGGTGTTTGGGGTGGGTTTAGAGGGTCGACATACCTTCTGAGGAGGTACAGTACTTGGAGACCTACGGAACGTTAAACAGTCCCATTTGCATCGGGAAATCAAACAGAAAAATGGCTTGCAGTTTAGGCTCTTCTCTCTTCTACTGTAACAGCTTGGCTTTGCAAACCCTTTTTCCCAAGAATGACATGGGGAACTGTACAGCTGCGCCTACTCGTGGGGCCATTTTGGGCCTCTGCATGATGTGGTGGCAAGTACCCATGTCATCAGTCTCTATATAACTTTCCCCATGTTCGATGCACAGATCCAATTTTACCAAAAGTTCGAACAATGAGAGGAACCTTGACCATCCGATCATATCTTCGTGCGCCCTTGGTCCGTAGGAGGCTTCCAGTCTGCAGTTTAGTAGCCATATCTTTCCTAGTGGATCCTGTTACCACTATAGATAGGTTGAAACGGTTTCCCAATACAGGTTGAAACCATTGTACTTTTCTGTCCCTGGGGGTCCAGATGCTATATATATAGCAGGTAACCAGTACTTCCAAAGACAAAGAATGGGTAGACCTAGAAACCTTGGTTATTGTAGAGTGGCTGCCACGGGATCCACTGGGTTTCATTTGCACTACACCTGTCCTGGACGACCAACACAAACAAGAACGAGGGTTTCCTCGAGAGTTATTAAGTACCCGATTGGACCTTGGAAGTCCAGATCGACACTATTTGACAGCACAAACAAAAGGGACACTTCTTAAAACTGGGCCATATCGGTTCATCGTGGGTCATCGTTCATCAGACCAGGCCTAGACCGCCTAGTTCGACCAGTGGGCGCCCGACACGTCGTTCATCACGCGCATGAACTTGTGCAGCTGCTGACCACAATCACAACCTGGGTACCAGGCGACCCGACCAGGGTCCGAGCTACCTGGGTGGATCAAACCGGAAGACCAGGGCGACCCGACCCATCCTCTAATACCTGGGAGGTCAAGCTGATGGACCAGGGCTCCAGGTTGAACGACCCATAGAATTGATCCTCTTTCCTTATAAGACAAAACATGACAAAACACTTGCAGAATAACAACGTCAAAGTGTGGGCTTCTACCTTTGGGCTACCGATGAACCTCCACAAATGTCCACAGTGAATTAGATGTCCCGATCCACGATGCTGGCCATGCATAACCCACATATTGGTCGTTGGTCTTCTCCCTGTTACAGCATATACTGCAAAATACAGCTAGCAGGCTATCTGGCACCAACACCCCGATAAACCACGCTCAAACACCAAAAAAAAACATCATGCAAGCATAGAGCCCAAACAGTTTCAGCTTGTGTTTTGTGCGTCAACTCCTTGAATTCCACTGGTGGTAACACCATACCCCAGACACTCCATGCATGGCATATTTACCTATTGACCCCTGAAATCAACCACCCCCAATGTATGTCAATATGCCAGTCCCATTAGTCGTGTCTGGGTACGGCAAATGCTTCGCTTCCGAAAACCGTGCAAAAACCCCATCAAAACCCCCGCCCCTCCGTCCTCGCCTCGTCGCCCCCGCCCTCCGTCCGAGCCGTCTCAGTCTCAGTCTAGTGACGTTTCGATGCTAAGACGTCTCCGGTGAAGCACTCGGAGTGCACCCGGGCGGGCACCCCCTGACGGGTCGAGGTGGAAACGCCGCCGATGAACTCGACGGGCGAGACGAGGATGTCGGGAGAAGACTGACCAGTCGAAGTGGGGAGATGAGGGTGGGAAGAGAGGGTGAGAAGCTTTCAAGTTGCAGCCTGAAAAATTTTCTTCAAGTCTCACACTGAAAACCGGGGGTGCCTCGGTATCTACTGGAACAACACTTCCAAAGTACGGTGTTTTTGTAGCCGCCTGGGCCCCTTGCTTGCCAAGTGTTGCATATCTGATCTGTGTGTGTTTTAGCCGTTCCCTTGATTGCTGACATTGACATAGAAGTGCCACGGATCTAATGATGCGAATCCTTGGAATGATTCAAGTCGAGATCAAAGACATCCGCTCGGCCACAGACAAAGGACAAATTCCACAGGAGTGCGAAGGACAAAGAACATATCCCCGCCAGGGGCTTCCAGTTACCACTATGTAAGGACCATGACTTTTAGGTCTGTAGTTTCGGTCTTTGGAACCACTGACTGGTTATCAGCTGTGGTGGTAACTGGATGTCAGCTCGCTGTCCAAAAAACACCAGTCAAGGTTGGTATGTTGTTCCAATCGAAAAAGAGCAAATAGTATATATATATATATGGTATAATTATCTGCATATGATTGCACGTGTCCAAAGGAAAACCTCTTAGGAATAATTTCAAGAACACATCTTGATAACCTGCAATGCACAGAACACATCTTGGATTAAAATTTATTGCCTTCCCCAAAACAGTGTGAGATAGCAGGAATCATTCCAGGAATACGGGCCCCAGTGAGAGATCCGACCCCAGGCAGTTCGGTACAGTCCCATCCCGCACAGTCGGCGGACCTCCTGACCAGCGATATCCCCTTTCACCACCTTAGGCAAATGGCAACACTTGGGTGTGTTTGAGAAACCAAACAAAACCGGTGGGTTTTTGTTTGAACAACGCTGAACATCTAGGTCTGGGACTGAACACACGGACACGATCAAAAAGGCAAACGTACCAAATTAACATGGTGACTTTATTGAATCAATATGAATCAATGCACATGGGTGACACATGGACTTCCATTAAAGTGGTTCACAGGCCTCAATACGATCAATATCGACCCCTGTGATGGTAATGGAACCTGGTTATGGGTCCCCCACTGCAGCAATGGGTGTCCACTACAGAACTTTTGTGATTGATTGGTCCACTGTCCGAAATATCAGGAGCTGTTTCTACAGTTTAGCCCCGGTCGGACAGCTGTGATGATGGGTCTGTCAAACTGTGCGTCGACTGCATTCAAGTGTTTTTGGACTCTTGGGCTGAAGAAGGCATTGTTTGTTCCTGCCAATTGGGCCAGGAATTTGACGCCAAGGTCCTTGGCAAAACCTCGGGCTACTTTTGACGAAGACAAATTTATATAAACGCTTCTTCTGGGGGCTGCTTTGGGGGTAGCTTAGTGAACCCTTCAAGTTGACACCTTGCATGAACAGCTAGTCTGCAGCACCCGATGGAGCAGAATCAACAAGAAACACAGCAAGCTTAACATGTGCTCTTAGCCACATTTCGCAGGGCAAAACTACTTCGATTGATGCCCACCCTGAAACATGATTTGGAAGAAGGCAGGGCGAATGTATTGACAAGCTATCCTGACAAACGCTGCCTGACATTTGCACTGACACCATGTTCTGACACTTGTTCGGACATCAAGTCTGCTATGGGTTAGACGCATCATCAAGCATCAAGGCTCGGATAAATCGTGGAATCAAATGGTGTCCAGCCATCCTTTTGGCATGTGTTCTGACATGTGTGCTGCCGTCAAGTCTGACATGTGTTCTGACACACCTTCTTGCATGCACTTCTGACATGCGTTCTCGCATTGAATCTGGCATGTGTACTGAAATGTGTTGTAACATATGGTCCGGCTTCTGTTCTGATATGTGTTCTATCATGTTCTGTGACACGTGTTTTGTCACTGAGTCTATATACCATTCTTTCTGACATGTGTTCTGACATACCATGTGCCGACATTTGTTCTGACACGTGTTCTGTCACGTATTCTGACACCTGTTCTGACATATCTTCGGGCAATTTACTCCGCAAAAGTCCAACAGGTGCTCTGTGCTCTGACATGCTGCCATATTCTGCGTCCCGAACCAAACAGGAGCCAAGAGCCCTAGGGCCCGAAGAACCCGGAGCCCAAAGCCACAACGCGTGGTGGTCAGGAGGCGGAAGGAACGCGTCCGAACAGGGAGAGACACAGCCTGGGTGGGAAACAACTCCTTGCACTGAAAAATGACTAGTTTGAGCCCAACTGAGACGTTCAGGGGTCACTTCTTGCCCAAAAGGAAACGCCCCAACACATCACCTCAACACATCGACACCGGCTCCGACACCGACGACACCGTCGCTCTTAGGCACTGCGATGATCTCCACCTTGGGATCTGGAGTGCTATAGGCCTCAGCTCAGGCGCTCGCTGCGCGTCAGTTCGACCCCGGGGGGTCCTGAAGGTGAGCGTAGTGAAGTGGAGAAAAACCATGCTGCCTACTGCAGGTACTATGTATTACATATTATCTAGTTCATTATAGCTAAGGTCTCTCTTTTAGTCCCAGCAGGGAGGCACCTTTTTAAGAGGAGATATTATGTTAAGTGATGTTAACTGAACCTTTGGGAGTCCTTTGGAGAATGCCCTTTGTTCTTTTGAGCACTAGAAATTCCACCAAAAGCTGTATCCAAGCCCAACTGACCAAAAAGAGAACTGAATCGACTAACACCTGAGTCTCCGTTTTGGACCGTCCTAGCCTTCTGTTCGACCATTGAGAAAATGGTTGTCCTGGTCTTGTAGTCTTTTAACCCGTAATAAAACCATGGTGGTTAGAATCCAGGGAGAATATCTGTATATATATATATTATAACTATAATACAATATACTACATATACATTACATAAAACTGTCCATCATTGTTTACTATGGCGGACCGGACCATTCCCGTCCTCCGAACGCTGGGTCTGCACACCAAGATCTTGCATTCGGCCTGGATATCGTCCACCCACATCCGGCCTCAGTCGGGTCTCTCTCGCCGTAGTGCTTTTGGACGGCTCGAGACACAAGCGCAAAGCCCGTGAAAGGCGTGGAACCTGCCCGATGGAGGCATGCGTTTTTCTTGTTGGGCTGGCTGACCCGATCAAAGATGCTGGATGTACATGGACGTACTACAAGCATCTACAAGCATCTGAGCCTCTTCTGAGCAGAACAAGTGCTTTCACATGTCTGCGGGCGGTGGCTCTTGATTTTTCTTTCACTCTTGTGCCAACCAATGCCTCCTTCAAAACTCTGACAGCTCACATCTCCAAGTACTAAGCAAACAATACAAACAAACATACATGAACATACACTACTTCTTGATTCTTGCTTTAGGTACGTCCCCCACCATGATCAAATACTAGCAAAAGGTTGGGGAACTCCCTGTAGCTGCGAACGTCTTCCTGTTGAATGAGGAAATATGGATTCCCTCGCTCCCCTCCTGGGCACCAGCTAGATGATGGTGGCCCACCGCTCTTATATTGAGAAGTCAACATAGATTCAGAAGAGAAGCTATGTGTTTGGTCATATATATATATAGAAGAGAAGCTATTATAGTCAGAGAAGTCATTCTGGTGGCCCACCGCGAAGCTCTTCACAGCCGAGAAGCTATGTGTTTGCAACACCGGCTTTCCCAGCGCGTCCGCCTCGGGCCAAGCGATCGATCACCACGTCAACGCCCTCAAAACGGAGGGAAATCCGACCTCAAAGACTCCTAAGGAAGGGATGAATCGTCTTGAAATTCAAATGCTCAGCCAGGAACGAACTCACCAAGCAGACCAAGCAAAGCTGTTTGGGTCAATGGCTGCCAGAAGGATGCTTGGAGTTTCGATGCCAAACCAATCAGACCGGAGAAACGATGCACATCCGATCTTCAGACTGATGGTTGCTTGAGGTGATCCTTCTCCTGCACCAAAACAGTAATTCGGTCAGTAATTACGTCCCCTGACGTCACCATCCCACAACTACCTTACTTTGAAGAAGCTGCCACTTAGTCCCCGAAGAGGTCACTTAGAGACTCCAAAGAGGTCACGTACGGCTCAGGTCCTGCTGGAAGCATTTGGTGTTTCATCCATTCTTCTCCTAGGTCCCAGCCTGGAGTTTTTCCATTGCATTGTCCATCTCGTCTCAAGTCCATCTCGTCGACCGACAACCATCAAGTCGATGAGCTGAAGGTCCAAGCAAACACAACGCCGGGCAATTTGTTGGCCAACACATTGGCAATAAGTCTTCCAGCTAGAGATTGGTGAGGAAGCCAGGACAACCCAAAGAAAACCTTTTCTTTTAAACATATTTTAACATCAGGGAAAACTAAGAACTGAGGGACTGAGGCCACAGCAGGAAGCTGCGTGAGGCATTCCGCCACACCCATTTGCGACGACATGATTCTTCGATGGCAAAATTGAAGAATTCAGGCCACCAAGGTGCATGGGAAAAGGAAATTCAAATTGCAGCAACGATTCTCGATTGATGCTTTAAGGTGTTTGATCCAAACAGCAAACAACTGGGACCGGTGGGTTTTGACTATCTCTGTGTGTTCCATTTGTTGTGGGTCGTTGTGACCAGAATGTATGTATATATGTATATAGATAATTCTCTATATATACTGTATATATACACATATACATACATGCGTACTAATCCAACATTTAAACAACAATGTAAAATATCTCACAGCCATCGTGCATGAGTCACTGGTTTCATCCTGTTTGACTTAAAACTGGCCCGTTGCGTCTTTCATCGTTGCTACTGTCCACTGCTAACAAACAGCTCAGTAAAAATATCAACATATAAAAGATTGAAACAAATGTTGCTACACACATATATTCATAATTGTATCAGTGCCAAGTGTTGAACTTATCCATCAAAAATGGCAGCAGGGTCACATGCGGACTGGACATCACGAATCACGATCAACTGATCTTCTGAGTTCAACCTTGGACACACAATGGTCACAACACTATGAGCGCACACTCACGCAGCCGTCGCGCAATCCCTGCACCTTACCACAAAAGGATCTACATACAGTGCTTACATGTTTCTATTTATACATTTTAGCATATACCAGGACCCTCCAAGGGGTGCCCAATGGAAGCCTATAGGTAGTGTGGGGTAGTTCAGCCAGGACACCCCGACAGGAGGGTCCTGATATTTATACATGTTCGATTCTTCCTTGATGTTGTCAGCTATGTTTTTTTCATCCGCTTGGGCTGCTGGGCCGGTCTCAGTTCTTCCGTGCCCCACGCCGACCGCCGCGGCTCCTTGGAGTACGCAAGGAATAGAGCCCAAAATAACAATTTACAAACAAAAACTGCAGCCCCGTCAGAACACATCTTGCGTTGTCTCTACCCCCTCCCAGAAACCAAAAAACTGCAGCCCCGCCGTTGGTGTTTGACGCCCCCTCAAAACAACAAGGCAGTGCGAGTACGAGTACGACGAGTAGTAGTAGTGGTGGTGGTAGTAGTAGTAGTAGTAGTCGTAGTGGTAGTGGTAGGGGTAGCGGTAGCGGTAGTGGTGGTGGTGGTAGTAGTAGTAGTGGTGGTGGTAGTAGTAGTAGTAGTACCAGAACTGGTTTGTTGGTTTGGAGGGGTGTCAAACACAACCGTCTTGCTGCAGCTTTTTGTTTGTACCTTGTTGTTGTTGTGGTGTTGTGTGTCTGTCTGTTTGTCTGTCTCTGTCTCTGTCTCTGTCTGTTTGTTTGTGTTGCTGTGTGTTTGTTTGTCTGTCTGATTTTGTTTTGTTCAGTGATTGTTTGGTTCGATTGAGTGTTTTGTTTTGCTTTGTGGTGTCTTGCTTTGTTCAGTTGTTTGTTTGCTTGTTTGTTTGCTTGATTTGTTGGTTTGTCTTCTTGTTTGGTATGCTTGTATGTATGTTTGTTTGAATGTTGGTTTGCTTGTATGTATGTATGTTTGTTTGTTTGTTCGTTTGTTTGTTGTTTAATTGTTCCCCACCTGCCAGGTGAGGGTTGTTAGATTTTATGTTAGCTGACTTCTCCTTCTCCTAATCCTCCTCCTCCTCCTCCTTCTTCTCCTCCTCGCCGGACCTCGACCACGACCATCCACGCCCAGTGTTCCTGCCGGACCTCAACCACGACCATCCACGCCCAGTGTTCCCTGCCG